TAGTTCACTGCCTTTTCACCCAGTGATAGAACTACTGTAAAACTAAATGTGTGCATTGCGTATGACTGGGCTATATTGTGCTTTTATTTGTTCTCTACAATAACATGATAAGTACAGTAAAGGAAGTTTTGCTTCGTCTCATTACTAAATAATAAGCCTACAGCCTTGCAGTCGCCACAGTTATGTTCTTTCATTCACTGTGGTGATTGTGGTGAGCTGAAGGTTTGTTGTGGAAATAACTTATCTAGATGTGTCCTACTGAACAGGAACAACAGCAGCCAAACGTGAAAGTTTTTTTTTTAATTTACAGTCTTTCCCCTTGTAACCCCTTCATGAACTATGAATTCTCCATAACTGTATGAAAGTACTCAACGCAATATCACACAACATAGCCTAACTGTTTTTGTTGTTATAAATACTAGTTGAGGACAGGTTTGCTCGACTGTTACTCTCATATGAAAAATTACCAGTCTGAAACACTGTTCCCTCCACTGCTCCAGATCTGCCCATTTCTTAGACATGAAGAAGAGCAGGAACAACATAACCACCCATGACTGTGCGTCAACCTCTGATGGAGACAAAGCAGTGTGATCACAGACAGGCACAGAGACGCTGGTATCTGTCTTCATGGCTGCTGCCTGTTCTCTCCACTGACGGTAGAATTGCAAGTCAAGCTGACATCTCAGTTTGTGTGATTTATACCAGCAGCTCACTCACTGAACCAGCTCTTTGTGGTATGTTCCGGCTTTTGAAAGCACCGCTTCACTGCATGCTGGTAGACATTACAGAACATTATGCAAACAAGTCCACTGTGAAAGCCGTGGTGGCTGAGGATGGATTATAACCAGTCAGTGAATACATCCATATATACTAAAATTAACACTTCATAGTTAGCCATCTCTTCTTATCATTAATATGTTCATTTACTTGTGAACGAGTACCACTCTCTGTTTGTTGGAGCTGCAGACAGAAGCTGATTACCTTCGCCTAGGTTAGCTTAGTTAAGCTTAGCATAAAGACTGGAAGCAGGGAGAAACAGCTAGCTTAGCTCTGTCCAAAGTTCAAGAATACACCGACACCCGCACCTGTAAAACTAAACCAATTAAAACACTGTAGCTCTCCACCAGAAATGTGAGAATGACAGACAGTGGGTTTACGGGGAGTTACACGCTGGAAGTATTTCTTGGCAAACAGCAGCCAGTCGTAGTGACTTCCTGAAATCCTGGTAGGTTGCCTGGCAAATTCACAGTGATGTGAAGACTCTAGTCAGTCACTGTGATAAAACTGTGGACACAGCGCGGTCAGTCTGCCTTCCTGCCACTTTGATACAGCAGTAGTTACAGTAACACACAAATCCCCTTCGTTCGAAAAGAGACGTCTGTAAAACCTCCAACTGTCAATCATTATTCTTCTTCTTATTATTATTATTTTTTTTTGACATTTTCACCTTCATTTGTTGGAGAGGCAGACAGGAAACACAGGGAGAGACTGGGCCGCTCTGGTTTCCCGGCTACTCAGGAACTGCAGGGAAGAGGAGGAGCCATTCCAATACACTGAGCCTCACCTCCATTACAGCAAATAAACTACTTTCATTCCATGTATCATTATTACTAAAGGAGGCAGAGGAATAACTAAACATAAGACACACACAGCAGAGAGAGCAGGAGAGAGGGAGGGAGGGAGAGAGAAGTCATGGGTAACGAGGCTTGGTACTAACGACTATGACCAACTCTACATATCAAACAGAGGGAGTTAGACATAAAGACCTGCCTCTAATAAAAGTCTGTGATGTTCTGGAGTTGAAGTAAATAAAGAATAAATTATTGTGGATCCAGACGGAGGCTGTGCTCTGTGTGAGAGACTGAATAAGAAAGATAATCTGTCTCTGGCCCCAGTGGTTCACCTGGTGGAGCACGAGACATTTGGGCTTAGTTCTTGTCCCGGTGGCCGGTTTTGAGTCTGGCCTGTGGCCCCTAGCCACATGTCATCCTCTCTCTCTTTCTCTCTCTCTCTTGCTTGCTCTCTCTCCCTCTCTCTCTCTCTCTCACTCTCACTAACTTAATAAAAAGAAAGCTATTGTGTCTCTTCTACCTTTCTCTCTGAGTGATCATGTTACAGTAAATCCAGCTGAAAATCACAGCTCAGTCTTTGTCTTCAATTTACGTGTTTTGTGATGGAGGATTTGAGCAGAGGCAGTCCAGGCATATACTAGGTTTTCACCTACAGTCTTTTTTATACAATGAAGGAAGGACCAGGCAGAGCCAAGGGGAGAAAAGTAACGCACATGTGAAGGGACAATGTGCACAACAAGGAAGCAAACCAGGCTGCAAGAAAATGTTTTTTGATACATGTATCAGATGAGCAATTTTCATTTTATGTCATGTTATACTCTATTCAAACCTTTGTCAGGGGTCTACATGAATGGGTCAACACATACCAGCTGACCCTCCTTAACAACACTCCTCCTGACCAGGACTGGGCGTCGGTTGGACTCCACTCAGCTTTGGTGAACTTACATTTAAAACCAAGAATGGAAATTAATTAAATGATTTCAATGTTTATACAGTAAGCAGAACACAGAGACAGAGAGAGAGAAGGCGAGCAGGAGAGAGAGAGAGAGAGAGAGAGAGAGAGAGAGAGAGAGAGAGAAAGAGAGAAAGAGAAAGAGAAAGAGAAAGAAATATAGAGAGCACACTGTCGATGGAGAGAGAGTAAGAAACTGAAACCTACATTTCAACAGTTGTTTGATGTAATTCAGTGTAATTCTGTGGTTACTCAGTAAGTGTATGGAAGAACACAGCAGACTGGTGTCTCTAACCAGACATACAGCTCTCTCTTGTGAATCGGTTCAACACATGTTAAACAAACACATGCCAGCTGTGTGAAGGGGATACTGGAGTCCAGTTTCCACGTCTCATAAGGTCTGATGTTGCAGCTCCTTCGTTATCTACAAAACAGGTTAAATTCCATATAAATGTGTGTTGACTGTCTCCTCTTGCTAAATGTGTGGAGATAATAATCAGGCTCTTTGAGGTTAAATGAGGGTCATTACGCAGGATCAGAAGTGCCTGTGTAGTGTTTTCAACATCATTATAAATCTGTGGTTTAATATAATCTGATATAATTACTGAAAAAAATAGCATGGAGGAGAAAGTAGTAAATTTCTTTTCTAGTAAATATTAGTGCTGGTGTTTTTCTCTACATGTTGAAGCAAACAGATTTTGTTACTTGCTTCTCATAAAGTAATAACAATCATTAACATGAATTACAATACTGTGATTAGAACCACTGAAAGCTTTACAACAGGAGGACATGATGGTGGCTGTGTGTCTGTCTACTTGTTATGATGTTTGTCTGGCACTTAGAGACCAAAAACTGATGGATCCCAATTTCAAGCCCTCCTGCAGCCCTCCTGCAGGGCTCCCCACACTGGCACATGCACACGCTTCATGCACGCACGCAACACAAGCAACACAGCCTTTGGCTACTCTTAGCAGAAGGAACTAAACTATTAGCAATATTCAACTTTAAGTGGTCATCCATCATATGCTTTCATGGTAAATCTACCAACACAACCAACCACTACAACACATGTAGATATTACAGTTAGCAGCCTGTTACCTGTCCAGGAGAAGAAGAACAGGTTCTCTCTCTCTCTCTCTCTCTCTCTCTCTCTGAAACACTTCACTGATATTGACACATGTCCATCTGAAGAGATGTGTTTTTTAGAACCACCAATAGGAACGCTCTGTTGTTAGTAGAGCTCCAGAGAGAAGCCAGAGAGAGGAGATGTAAACTACACTGAGATGGTTTTTGGTTCTTAAAACCACCATACACCTTCATATAGATCAACACTTAAAATATACACTGGAGAAGAGGAAAGTGGATCACTGGGTATAGACACCGGTGCAGGACTGCAGCTGCTCCTGCTAACATGTTACTTTCACTCTGCAACTGCTGTAGACAAAGTGTAAACTCTACCTTTTTCCGAGAACATAACATACAAACTAGTTAATTTCACATATACTAAACATCAACCTGCCTGCAGCTCCGGTACGGACCACTAGGGGTCTGCAGATGAGTTGAGAAACATTATTACAACAAAGTCAGGGTGTATCTTTAAAACATAATGTCAGACAGCACAACCAGAACTATACATCAGTCTAAAATATCCCTGTAAAGCCATGTTCACATTTCCTCATGAGGAACACATCATTACTGATGAACTGTTGAAGAACATTACTCCCAGACACAAGATGTCACTCTGGAGAGAGGTGTAGAGAGGCTGTTTCTCACGTGCAGGAGATTGTTCTAATGAGAGCTCAGCTTGAGACTGAGCAGGAGGAGGGAACAGCAATGATGCTTCTGTGCCCAGAGGCAATTCACATAGGCAAGAGCTACTACAATGGGTGGGAACAACATGAATCCACATTCTCTCTCTCTCTCTCTCTCTCTCTCTCTCTCTCTCTCATCTTTCAGCCTGTTCCTTTTGTTTAGTTTGGATTAACACGTTTCACTGCTTCTGAAACCTTTTAACAATTTAAGGCACAACTCAGCTCTGTCATGACCATTGATGTTGAATTAAAGGACAATAAATGTTATTTTCAGTCAAAAGGCATTCACTCATGTGGAGTTGCTGCCTTCCCTCTGGTAGAGGCTTAATGTGCGGTGTAATTATCATCTCAGACTGCGCATCCTCCATCACGGTCGATGATCCACCTTTTCGAATAAAAGTATTAAGGTGTGGATGATCTCCATGTGGTGTGCTATAAATGTGGAGAAGATTTGTCTCAGATCTCAGACTGTGAGGTTGAGTAAACTGAAATATATTTTTCATTCTTGAATATTCGACCATAAGGCATCCAGCAACATGGTGCGACTACGGAAGCAACAGTTGGTGTCATGTATCTTGGAGAAGCGTTGTAGAAGTGAGAGATGTGTTTAAATGACAGTGTTGGGTTTAGGTTTGGGGTGTTTCTGCTTGTCCACACCGATCTTACCTTCTGCTGCCTCCTTGCCATATCAGTAGGTTGCTTTGCGTTGAACGGATAGGCGATGCAGCGCATCACAAACACATACAGCTGGAGTCTCTTTTTCCTCTCCTCCTCCTCCCTCTGCATCTTCTCCAGGTCCTCCTTCTCCTTGTCGCTGCCCACCGACGGGCTGGGGCTGGAGGGTCGGCCACCGCCGCTCCCGCGGCCCCGGGGCTGAAGCCCTCCGCCACCGTGGCCGTCGGCGGCTCGGCCCGGTGACAGTCGCGCTCCTCCGAGGCTCTTCGGGGCCGCCACCTCTTTGCGTTCCACCTCCAATATCTCATCCCCTTCCTCCTCGCTGGAAGATGGGTCCAACATGCTGCTGAGGCTGCTGAGATGGAGACTACACCTGCTGCAAAAGTAAAACTGCCAAAGTAGAAAAAAACAGATGCGGATCAGCCTCAGAGAGAAGCACAGAGAGAGAGATCCAACTGAAGCCGCTGAGAAGACGCACAACCGGACTGATGAGCGGCTCAGACTGTTGCTTCTCAGGAAGAAAAACTGTCGTCAGTCACGTTAACCAGCAGGAGAAACCAAACTCTTGATATCTAATTGCGTGATTTCCAAGCCTTTCAACTCTGCCAGTCAGTAGGACACAGGAGGGATTTATCATGAGAGAGGATATAAAGGGGGAGGGGTCGCAGGGAGAGAAAACAGGACCAAACGTTGATGTGTAGATGCTCTGCTGCCGGGGGGAGGAAGAGGCAGGGCCCGGAGCTGACCACTGTACTGAAACCCGATCCCCGGCTGCTCTGGGATCAGTTTGATCAGGCTGCGAGCACAATAGATGAACGGCCACCTGATGATCCAGCTGAGTCAAAAGAGGACAGGTTCAGTCAGTACCAACCGGAATCAAAGGGGTTGGCTTTCACAATAAAAGCTTCGACTGATTTAAAAAATAAATAATGGAATGGTGAAGATCTATTGACTACTGATGTTTCGATAGTCTTCACCTGATTCAGCCTTACCCTGAACAGCCATCAGTTTTTTCCCCAGCGTGTGTACATCAAATTATTTACAATTTTTTTTTACAAAATAATAACCTCTATATTATTGAATAATAATAACAGTTTAAAAAGCTGTTCCTTGTCCCGATACGTTCCTTGGGACTTGGATCCCTCCAAAAAAGGTAAAAACGACAGTTATAGGGAGATTAAACATTTATCCTAGTTACCTGTAATTATAAATATTACAATATTCATGCCTGGATCTTGTACTGCGATTTCAGACATCCATAAAGTGGACCGTCCTAAACCTTTCTTTCTAAACCTTGACATTAGCTTCACATCTCTCTGTCTACCTCACTCCCATTAGTCGCTCATGCCTAAAGTCTCTACTCCCATGCATCACACAAGCTAATTGAGCACTGTAAGTAAATGTAAATTTAAAAAAGTAAATTTAAATTTTCTGAATAATGCAAATTTAGCTAGCTTCTAACTTTGGCCCTAAGTTACAATTTAGCTAACTAATGTTAGCTATCTGATAGCGCACCCTTACTTTTCCAATATTGGCTTGGTATTTGGTCTACATGAATGGGTCAACAACATACCAGCTGACCCTCCTTAAAACACTCCTCCTGACCAGGACTGGGCGTCGGTTGGGACTCCATCAGCTTTGGTGGAACTTACATTTAAAACCAGAATGGAAATTAATTAAATGATTTCAATGTTTATACAGTAAGCAGAACCAGAGAGACAGAGAGAGAAAGGCACAGTCAGAGATGAAGAGAGCAGAGTAGAGAGAGAGAAGAGAGAGAGAGAGGGAGACGAGAGAGAGAGAGAAGAGAGAAAGAGAAAGAGAAAAAGAAAAAATATAGAGAGCACACTGTCGATGAGAGAGAGTAAAGAAAACTGAAACCTACAGTTTCAACAGTTGTTTGATGGTAATTCAGTTGTAATTCTGTGGTTACTCAGTAAGTGTATGGAAGAACACAGCAGGACTGGTGTCTCTAACCAGACATACAGCTCTCTCTTGTGAATCGGTCAACACATGTTTAAACAAACACATGCCAGCTGTGTGAAGGATACTGGAGTCCAGTTTCCACGTCTCATAAGGTCTGATGTTGCAGCTCCCTTCGTTATCTACAAAACAGGTTAAATATCCATATAAATGTGTGTTGACTGTCTCCTCTTGCTAAATGTGTGGAGATAATAATCAGGCTCTTTGAGGTTAAATGAGGTCATTACGCAGGATCAGAAGTGCCTGTGTAGTGTTTTTCAACATCATTATAAATCTTGGTTTAATATAATCTGATATAATTACTGAAAAAAATAGCATGGAGGAAGAAAGTAGTAAATTTCTTTTCTAGTAAATATTAGTGCTGGTGTTTTTCTCTACATGTTTGAAGCAAACAGATTTTGTTACTTGCTTCTCATAAAGTATAACACATCATAACATGAATTACAATACTGTGATTTAGAACCACTGAAAGCTTTACAACAGGAGGACCATGATGGTGCTGTGTGTCTGTCTACTTGTTTATGATGTTTGTCTGCCTTAGAACCAAAAACTGATGGGATCCCAATTTCAAAGCCTCCTGCAGCCCTCCTGACAGGGCTCCCCACACTGCACATGCACACGCTTCATGCACGCACGTGCAACACAAGCAACACAGCCTTTGGCTACTCTTAGCAGAAAGGAACCTAAACTATTAGCAATATTCAACTTTAAGTGGTCATCCATCATATGCTTTCATGGTAAATCTACCAACACAACCAACCCACTACAACACATGTAGAATATTACAGTTAGCAGCCTGTTACCTGTCCAGGAGAAGAAGAACAGTTCTCTCTCCTCTCTCTCTCTCTCTCTCTCTCTCTCTCTCCTCTCTCTCTCTCTCTCTCTATCTGAAACACTTCACTGATATTGACACATGTCCATCTGAAGAGAGATGTGTTTTTTAAACCACAATAGGAACGCTCTGTTGTTAGTAGAGCTCCAGAGAGAAGCCAGAAGAGGAGATGTAAAACTACACTGAGATTGGTTTTGGTTCTTAAAACCACCATACACCTTCATATAGATCAACACTTATAAACTATACACTGGAGAAGAGGAAAGTGGATCACTGGGTATAGACACCGGGTGCAGGACTGCAGCTGCTCCTGCTAACATCTTACTTTCACTCTGCAACTGCTGTAGACAAAGTGTAAACTCTACCTTTTTCTAGAAACATAACATACAAACTAGTTAATTCACATATACTAAACATCAACCTGCCTGCAGCTCCGGTAGGACCATAGGGTCTGCAGATGAGTGAGAAAACATTATTACTAACAAAGTCAGGGTGTATCTTTAAAAATAATGTCAGACAGCACAACCAGAACTATACATCAGTCTAAAATATCCCTGTAAAAGCCATGTTCACATTTCCTCATGAGGAACACATCATTACTGATGAACTGTAAACATTACTCCCAGACACAAGATGGTCACTCTGAGAGAGAGGTGTAGAGAGGCTGTTTCTCACGTGCAGGAAGATTGTTCTAATGAGAGCTCAGCTTAGAGACTGAGCAGGAGGAGGAACAGCAAATGATGCTTCTGTGCCCAGAGGCAATTCACATAGGCAAAGAGCTACTACAATGGTGAGGAAACAACATGAATCCACATTCTCTCTCTCTCTCTCTCTCTCTCTCTCTCTCTCTCTCATCTTTCAGCCTGTTCTTTTGTTTAGTTTGGATTAACACGTTTCACTGCTTCTGAAACCTTTAACAATTAAGGCACAACTCACTCTGTCAGACCATTGATGTTGAATTAAAGGACAATAAATGTTATTTTCAGTCAAAAGGCATTCACTCATGTGAGTTGCTGCCTTCCCTCTGGTAGAGGCTTAATGTGCGTGTGTAATTATCATCTTCAGACTGCGCATCCTCCATCACGGTCGATGATCCACCTTTTCGAATAAAAGTATTAAGGTGTGATGATCTCCATGTGGTGTGCTATAATGTGGAGAATGATTGTCTCAGATCTCAGACTGTGAGGTTGAGTAAACTGAAATATATTTTTCATTCTTGAATATTCGACCATAAGGCATCCAGCAACATGGTGCGACTACGGAAGCAAACAGTTGTGTCATGTATCTTGGAGAAGCGTTGTAGAAGTGAGAGATGTTGTTTAAATGACATGTGTTGGTTTAGTTTGGGGTGTTTTCTGCTTGTCCACACCGATCTACCTTCTGCTGCCTCCTTGCCATATCAGTAGGTTGCTTTGCGTTGAACGGATAGGCGATGCAGCGCATCACAAACAATACAGCTGGAGTCTCTTTTTCCTCTCCTCCTCCTCCCTCTGCATCTTCTCCAGGTCCTCCTTCTCCTTGTCGCTGCCCACCGACCGGCCTGGGGGTGGAGGGTCGGCCACACGCCGCTCCCGCGGCCCCGGGCTGAAGCCCTCCGCCACCCGTGGCCGTCGGCGGCTCGGCCCGGTGACAGTCGCGCTCCTCCGAGGCTTTCGGGGCGCCACCTCTTGCGTTCCACCTCCAATATCTCATCCCTTCCTCCTCGCTGGAAGATGGGTCCAACATGCTGCTGAGGCTGCTGAGATGGAGACTACAACCTGCTGCAAAAAGGTAAAACTGCCAAAGTAGAAAAAAAAACAGATGCGGATCACCTCAGAGAGAAGCACAGAGAGAGAGATCCAACTGAAGCCGCTGAGAAGACGCACAAACCGGACTGATGAGCGGCTCAGACTGTTGCTTCTCAGGAAGAAAAACTGTCGTCAGTCACGTTAACCAGCAGGAGAAACCAAACTCTTATATCTAATTGCGTGATTTCCAAGCTTTCAACTCTGCCAGTCAGTAGGACACAGGAGGGATTTATCATGAGAGAGGATATAAAGGGGGAGGGGTCGCAGGGAGAGAAACAGGACCAAACGTTGATGTGTAGATGCTCTGCTGCCGGGGGGAGGAAGAGGCAGGCCCGGAGCTGACCACTGTACTGAAACCCGATCCCCGGCTGCTCTGGGATCAGTTTGATCAGGCTGCGAGCACAATAGTATGAACGGCCACCTGATGATCCAGCTGAGTCAAAAGAGGACAGGTTCAGTCAGTTACCAACCGGAATCAAAGGGGTTGGCTTTCACAAATAAAAGCTTCGACTGATTTAAAAAATAAATAATGGAAATGGTGAAGATCTATTGACTACTGATGTTTCGATAGTCTTCACCTGATTCAGCCTTACCCTGAACAAGCCATCAGTTTTTTCCCCAGCGTGTGTACATCAAATTATTTTACATTTTTTTTACAAAATAAATAACCTCTATATTATGAATAATAATAACAGTTTAAAAAGCTGTGTCCTATGGGACTTGGATCCCTCCAAAAAAGG